GGGGGAGGCCACAGCCGGGGTGTGTCTTTCACGCGGGCTTGCTCTCCCGCGGCATCTGTCGCCGCGCCCATGCCAGTCTCCTCCGCGAGCATTGCCAGCCTGGCAGGAAGTGACCGAGCGCGCGGGACAGCGAGCGGCCGGCGGGCCTGATGGGCTAGCGGCCAGCCGGTGACACGCCGGCCCGGCGGTCACATGCACCCCTGCCTCCTTCCTCCCTTTCTCTTTCCCTCTCTCCCCTCCTGCCTTTCCCCCCCCCCCCTCCACTCCCCTCCCCTCCCCTCCCCTCCCCTCGTCCCTCGATCATATCCGTGCTTCTGCTCTCCACCGGTTGCTTGCCATCGCTGTCGCTCCTCACCGAGGATGAACGAAAGTCGCCACTCCTTGCTCAGCTGGGCCAACGAGCTCCTTGCCATGAACATCACCAAGATCGAGGAGTTTGGCACCGGGGCCCTGTATTGCCATATTGTTGACTCGGTTTACAGTGCGTGTCCCCCGTAGGGCAGGGGAAGGGAGCTGCATGTGTGCATCCGTACATGTGTCAACATGCCTGGCTTCTGCATTGACCTGCTGGCCGCCTTCTGACGCAATTGCCCCCCCAGACGATGTTCCTCTCAACCGAGTCAAGTTCAACGCTCGCCAGGAATTCGAGTATGTCAACAACTTCAAGATCCTGCAGGATGCCTTTACTCGGCACTCCATCAAGCGTGTGCGTTGTGGTGTTCCCCCCCCCCCCCCCCCACCGCCCCGCCCCCCGGTGGCTGCTTTTCCCCCCGGCCCCCTGCCTTTCACTCTCCGCCTCTGTCTTTGGCTCTGGGCTGGGCTAGGCTAGGCTGGGCTGCCCCTCTCTCCTCCGTCTGGCTGACATGTGGCATTGCAGAAAATCCCCGTCGACCAGCTGATCAAGTGCCGGATGCTGGATAACCTGGAGTTTGTCCAGTGGATGAAGCGCTGGTGGGAAACCGTCTACCCGGGGGATTACAAGCCACTGGAGCGCCGCCAGCAGACCGGGGCCGTGGCTGATGGGCCGGCTGCCGGGGCGGGCGCCGCCACCGCGGGGCCTGCTCGGCGTCCGGTGGCTGTGGCCAGTCGACCGGTCCCAGCGCGCGCGACCACCCCGGCACCGGCTGGTCCGGGTGCTGCTGGCTCGGTTGCCGGGGCAGGTGTCGGCACGCGCCCGGCGGCAGCCTCGTCTCGGTCGGCTCCGGTCTCCGGGCGATCTACCTCGACCAGCCTGTCACCAACCCTGTCGGCCTCGGATGGCCAGTCGGCGCCTGCGGCCGGCTCTGCCGGTGCCGGCCAGCCCTCGGATGCAGCCCTGTCCCTCCTGTCGCGCTACCAGGAGCAGGTCCAGTCTTTGAGCGAGTCCATCGCCGAGCGGGATCTCATCATTTCCGGCCTCAAGAGCGATGTGGACTTCTACTTCAGCAAGTTGCGTGAAGTGGAGATCGTCGTTCAGCGGACGGTCCTCCAGCTGCAGGGGGCCGGTGATGGGACGGCCACCGACCCGGCTCCGAGTGTGGAGCAACTGCTCGCCGCCATCCAGAGCGTCATGTATCGCGTGGCCGATGGGTATGAGATTCCGGCCGGAGCGCCGCCGGTCGGGGCTCCGACCACTGCCCCGAGTGCTGGCGCCCCGACCGCAAGCATGCAACTTGACGAGCCGGAGGAATTCTAGAGATCGACCAGCCACCTTTCCTTTGTCGCTCGCACACAGGTGGACAGGACAACCATCGCACTGATACACATGCCCCCGCCAGGGCGCCCTCGCTCATTTCACCTTCCTCCCCTCCCCACCCTTTGAATATACGGCAAATTGCTACCCGGGGAAAAAGAGGCATGGCGATCGGTTACATGTCTTTGTGTGTGTGTGTGTGTGTGTGTGTGTGTGTGTGTGTGCAGGCGTCATCAACACACAGAGGCAGGCAGGCAAGCAAAGGTGGCACACAGGGGACCGGGACGGGGCGGGGGAAAGACAGTGCCGGGAAGGAGAGGGAGCACGAGGTCGGCTGGGAGGGGGCCGGCCCGGTTGCGCGCACGGGTAGCAGAGCTGGGCCATTTACACGCATCGGCGGTTCAGGGCCACATGGCCGGACTCCTCCCACTCGGCGCGGCTGACCCACTTGGTACCGAAGCTGGAGAGACTGGTGACAATGCTGCCCCCGGTCCAGGCCATGTTCCGCCGGTCCATGGGCGATGCCTCAGCGATGATGCGCGGCTGCTGGAAGGACTGCAGGCGCTGGCCCAGCTCGGCCGACAGGCGGCTGGCCAGGCCGTCGATTGCCGAGCACCCTCCGGCCAGGGCAATGTGCGATGCCAGAGCCGCGCGATTGTCCACATCCACATTGGCCAGGCAGCGCTCAATCAGCTCCGGCAGGCCCAGGTAGTTGGAGGATTCGGCCCCTGGGGTGTGGCTGACGCTCGGCGGCAGGCCGGCTGTCGGGTAGCTGATCGGCAGCCCATACGCCTGGAGGATGTCACGCGGGTTAAAGAGAACCTCCCCGCAGACGGCTCGCTCCAGGCCGCCGTACAGGTCGTTGAAGCCGCACGGGAACTCGTACAGTCGCTGGGATCCGTGGGCACTCACAGACAGGCTGGTATGGGCTTGCGCCCGGGCGGCACACCCGGCGGCCGAGGTGTCCGAAAAAGAGGGCAGCGGGCTGGGAGGAACGGCCGTGATGGACTGGCGCCAGTCGGCGGCCACGCGCTGGTGTGGTTATGCGCGGGCGTGGGAGTGGGCGTGTGTGTGTGAGTGTGTGAGTGTGTGAGTGTGTGAGTGTGTGAGTGTGTGTTTGTGTGTATGTGTGTATGCGTGAGTGCATGCGTGCATATTAGAGAGGAGTGGGGAAGGAGGACACAGTATGAGGGTGGAAGGTGGGCCAGACGGGACACAAGGGTAGTATGGAGGAGAGGAGCCGGGAAATGCGCACCAGCTGATGGAAAGAATGGAAGGAAGGATGTGTGTTGGGGAAGGAGCGGGTTTTGAATTGGGCCGGCTGGCCGGCGTTGGTGGCTGAGGAGGGAGGAAGGAGAGGGGCGAGGGGGCAGGGACGAGGGAGAGACGGGGAGACGAAAGGGTGAGAGTTGATACCAAAGCGAGGGCGTGCGCCGGGGGAGACGACAAGGAAAGCTGTCGGCTGGCGTACGGCGCTTGTCCAGGACCAAATAGCCCGGGGTGATGGTGTGGTTGGGCCCAGGCCGGAGAGTTCGGCGCTGGGGGCTCCCCGTGGTCGCGGCAGAGGCTGCCGCCTGGTCCTCGCCCGGGGCCACACCGAAGGCGACCTCGCGCTTGGCCACCGCATGCAGGGCCAGCGCGTCGAGCAGGTCACCACCAAGAGGCTGCCAGGCGATGGCCTTGCGCAGGGCTATTCCATCGAGCACCGGCGTGACCGTGGTCTTGGTGGCACCAATGTCCACCACAAGGGCGGTGGCGCGGTGCGAGGCGAAGGCCGCACACACGGCATCTCGGGCCACGTAGAAGGCCGGCAGGGAATACGTCTCGAACATGTGCTCAGCCAGGGTATTCCGGAAGGAGGGCGGAGCAAAGGAGGGCTCGATCATGAAGAGGGGATCCTATTGCCAGGGGTCGTCGCAAGAGGAGGCCACGCAGGCCAAGCCAGGAGCCCTTTGGGTCAGTGAATGGGCCCCGTGCGAGCGCGCGCGCGCGCGCGGATGCGTATGCGTGTGTATGCGTGTGTGTGTGGGGGGGGGGGGGGGAGGGGGGGGGGGCAGGGGAGAGGGGGGCTTGGCCGGCCGGGC